CATCATCAATGCAATCTTCATCAAAATCCCAGCACAATTCTTCACAGACCTTGAAAGGACAACACTCAGCTCCATATGGGAAAAAAACAGGATAGCTAAAAACAATAATAAAAACATATTGATCAATGGAATCAAATTGAGGACCCAGACATAAATCCACAGACCTACGGACACTTGATTTTCAAAAACAGGAGCCAGAAATACACGATGAAAAAAAGAAAGCGTCTTCAACAAATGGTTCTGGTCTAACTGGATGTTGGCATATAAATGAATGCAGAGAGAACCATATCTATCATCACGCACAAAACTCTAGTGGATCAAAGACCTCAATGTAAAATCAGACACATTGAACTTGATAGAAGAGAAAGTGAGGAATAGCCTTGAATGCATTGGCCCAAGAGACAACTTCCTGAACAGAACAATGATAGCACAGGCACTAAGATCAACAATCAATAAATGGGACCTCTTGAAAACGAAAATCTTCTGCAGGGCAAAGGGCACAGTCAATAGGACAAAACAGCAGCCTACAGAATAGGAAAAAGGTTCTCACCTACTCCACAACAGATATAGAGCTAATACCCAAAATATGCAAAGAACTCAAGAAACTAGATATCAAAAAAACAAATAATCCAATTTAAAAATGGGGTACAGTTCTATACAGAATTCTCAATAGAAGAAACCAAAACGGCTTAGAAACACTGAAAGAATTGTTCAGTGTCCTCTAGCCATCACGGAAATGTGAATCAAAACTACTTTGAGATTCCATCTTACACTTGTCAAAGTGGCTGAGATCAGTAACACAACTCATAGTTCATTCTGTCGAGGATGTGAAGCAAGGGAACACTCCTCCACTGCTGGTGGGAGTGCAAACTCATACAGAGAATATGGAAATCAATATGGCAGTTCCTCAGAACACTGGGAATCAATCTACCTCAAGACCCAGCTGTACTACTCCTGGCCATATACCCAAAGAATGCTCCATCACACCACAAGGACACTTGCTCAACTATGTTCATAACAGCTTTATTCATAATAGCCAGAAACTGGAAACAACCTAGATGTCCCTCAACAGAAGAATGGATAAAGAAAATGTAGTACATTCACACAATGGAGTATTTACTCAGCTGTTAAAAAAAAATGACATTATTAAATTTGCAGGCAAATGGATGGGACTAGAAAAAAAACATCCCGAGTGAGGTAACCCAGATTCCCAAAAACAAGCATGGTATGTATTGACTTATAAGTGGACATTAGCTGCTAAATTAATATTAATCATGTTATAATCCCCAGACCCAGAAAAGCAGGATACTGGGTGCTTTGGCCTTTACCATGTACACATGAAAAGGCACACACATGCAATAGACCACACATGCAGACACAAACAAACAAGCATATAAATAAAATATAGTCTATGTCTTTAAAAACAATCTCCCGGGCAGCGGTGTCCCACACTTTTAATCCCAGCACTTGGGAGACAAAGGCTAGCCATGTCTACAGAGTGAGTTCCAGGACAGTCAAGACTGTTTCACAGAGAAACTCTGTCTGTAAAAACAAACAAACAAACAAAACCAATCTCAATCCCTAGACCTCATCAATTAAATCAGAATCTTGGAGTCTTGCTTGTTTGATGTTTAATTATCATATGTCATGGAGAGGCTCGTCTCCGGTCAAGCATATTTGGGGCACTAAGTGCTTCCTGTGTCTATGTGTCTGTTTCTCTAGATTGCATTAAACAGATTTACTGTACTTATGAGAATTTTGTTTTGCTTTGTTTTCTCTCAGCTCTTTTTTCTGTGCCATAGATTATTAGGTTTGGTCTCTTGATTGTACTACAGAGCCCTTGGAAGTCATGGACCTATCTCTGTGCTTTCAAAACCCATTGGATGTTAACCGCCCTGCTGGATTGATGCAGCTGTGGATATCAAGGGGTCCGCTGCAGCTTCTGAATTGTCAGGTTCTGCAGCAGGGATAACTGATTCACCTGCTGACCTGAGGCTCAAGGCCATCCAACTCTAGGTTCACTGTCAGTTGATGAGACTCCTCAGGCTGCAGCAGCCAAGTTTCCTATGCACTCACTGACTGACGCAACCCCTTTCTTCCAGGACACTTCTTTTTTTCTCTCTTGTTCTTTCTTTCTTTTTGTTTTTTGTTTTTTGTTTTTGTTTTTTTGAGACAGGGTTTCTCTGTAATAGTTCTGACTGTCCTGGAACTCACTTTGTAGACCAGGCTGGCCTGGAACTCACAGAGATCAGCCTGCCTCTGCCTCCCTAGTGCTGAGATTAAAGGCATGCCCAACCAACGCCTGGCGTTGTACCTAAAATTCTAAGAGCAATTTTTTACTCCATTGCTGTTCTTTTATCACAACAGTTTGTACCATTTTGTGGATATGTTATCACTTTCAAATCTTTCTAGAAATAGAAAGTGTAAAGGTTTTTTATTTTCCATATTCTTCATTTCTCTTGGACTAGAAGTTTAAAATTTTTTTCAATATAGTGTTTTTCTTTTATTTGTCTGTGTAGTGATCTACATTTGCTGTTTTATATTTATAAAAGAGAAACCACATTGATTTACCTGGGTTGATGGTATGCATTTCTTATATGTTCTATAAGTCTAAGCTTTTTTTTTTTTTATCTTACATCACCGTAAGGAAAACACTGCCCAGAGGTTCTCTGAATAAGGTTTGTCATTTTTGAAAGAGTGCCACTGGGGTTGAATGGTGGTGGTGTAAGAAGTGGATCTGGGATCTCAAGAAGATGTCTACACTGTCCAAAGTATTTTGACAAGGAAAAATATTTCATTTATGCAGAAAAGTTCTAATCACACTCAGCTGAGTGAGCACACACAGTAGGGGTCCCTCTGTGTTTTCATTCCCAAAAAGAAATGTCCAGTGCCTCCCTGAGTAATCAGAGCTCTGCCTTACATTCTTATGTGATTGACCTAAGTGCAGTTTCTAGGAAAACACCAAGCAAGCATGTTTTGATTCCAAGAGAAGTTGACCCCGGTGAGGCCTGAATTTCTGTAAAGTAGCTTCTTCACAAAATTTTGAAGATTTATTTATTTTTATGGTTTGTATGTCCACCACATGTGCCTGGTGCCTATGGAGCCAGAAGAGGGCGTCTGATCTTCTAAAGTTGGAGTTGCACAGAGTTGTGAGGCCCCATGTGGGTTCTGGGAACTTAATCAAGTCCTTGGCAAGCTCAACAAGGGTTCTTAACCTCTGAGCTACCTCTCTAGCCTGCTGCAACTGTTTAAAATAGAACTCTGCCTTATCTAATCCTTTGACAAACAAGACTATATTCTGCTCACACAGGGAAAGCCTCAAAAAGGAGAAGGCTTTATTCTGAAATACAGGTGTCTATTGTGATGGGTACCATTAGTTGTCTATGTCTGTGGGGCAGGCGGAGAAGTTCATTGCTGTGGGAAGACCTAGCCCAGTGTGAACAGCACTCTAGACAATATATTCTGGATTGTGTACAAGTGTGGAAATCTAGCTGAAAACAAGAAGGTTTGTGTGTGTTTATTCTCTCTCTGCTCTTAGATACGATGTGACTAGCTATCTCAAGTTCCTGACTTGAGTTCCTTACGATGATAGACTATTCTTTGGGATTGTAAGACAGAGAAACCCTTCCTCACATAAGCTGCTTTTTGACTGGATATTGTATCACAGCAAAAGAAATAAAATCAGGACATCCGCCTAGAAACTTTTATTTTCTTAATCCTATCTGTTTGAGCTCTGTGCAGTGGTCACTGGAAGTTGTTTATGGAAAGATGTCTACATTCTCTTCTCTCCTTGTATCTTTTTTTTTTCTTTTGGTTTTTCTAGATAGGGTTTCTCTGTATTGCTTTGGAGCCTGTCCTGGAACTAGCTCTTGTAGACCAAGCTGGTCTCGAACTCACAGAGATCTGCCTGCTTCTGCCTCCCAAGTGCTGGGGTTAAAGCGTGGACCACCACTGTCTGACATCTCCTTGTACTTTTTCTCTCTTCTCTCTTGTGGGCTCTGCTGGGAGCACTGGCTTCCTCTTCAACTTTCTATACTAATTTAAATTTCATTCTCTTTGTGGTGCAAAGTTCTTTCATTATATTATCATCGTAATGCAGTTTCAGGAGGAAGAAAAGACAAATATGTATGCCTTCTTTACAATCTTTACCAACTGCTTTTAATTTTTAAAAGATTTCTTTATTTTATTTTTATTTTTTTGAGACAGGGTCTCACTGTGTAGCTCTGGCTATCCTGGAACTCACTATGAACACCAGCCTGGCCTAGAATTCACAGATCCACCTGCCTCTGCCTCCCAAATTCTGGGATAAAAAGCATGTGCTGCTACTTCTGACTACAGAATTATTTTTATTTTTCAGATACGTGTGTGTGTGTGTGTGTGTGTGTGTGTGTGTGTGTGTATTCGAGTATGCCTGAGGCCTGAGTGCTGAGTGAAGGTTCCTTCAGAGACCAGAAGAGGGTATAAGATTCTCCTGGAGCTGGAATTACTGGCAATTGTGAGCCACCCTATGTGGGTGCTGGGAATTGAACTCAGTTTCTTTGCAAGAGCACCAAGAGCTCTTAATCACTGAACCTCTCTCCAGCCTCATACCTTAATATTTTATTTGTAATTTATATGCATCTTTTAAAATGAGAGTGTCCTGTAGACTTTGCTTTTTCTTTTCTTTGTCTTTCTTTCTTTTTGTTTTATTTTGTTTTTTGAGATAGCATTGCTCTGTGCAGTCCTGGCTGGCTTGAAACTTGCTCTGTAGACCAGGCTGGTCTTGAATTTACAGAGATCTAATGGGGGATGTCCTTCTGTATGCTGTGAATATATGTTTCTCTTATTGGTTGGTGAATAAAGCTTTTTCGACCAACGAACAGGCAGGATGTCACCAGGAAGGAAGTATAGGCGGGGCTACCATACTAGGAGAATTCTGGGAAGAGGAACGAGAAAAGTGAGTCATGAGGAGATGCCATGTAGCTACCGGGAAGTTAAGATACTCACCCGAGGGCTCCAAGATGACCAAAACAAGACTAAATAGTGAGCGTGCCAAAAAAGGCCTCGGCCATGTGCAGCTAATTTGCTGCACAAACTGCACCCAGGGTGTGCCCAAGGACAAGGCCATTAAGAAGTTTGTCTTTCGGGACATTGTAGAGGCCGCTAATGTCAGGGACATATCTGAAGCAAGTGTCTTCGACGCTTATGTGCTTCCCAAACTCTATGTCAAGCTGCATTTCTGTGTGAGCTGTGCTATTCTTAGTAAAGTAGTTAGGAATCTATCTCGTGAAGCCTGGGAGGACCGAACACACCCATCACGATTTAGACCTGCTGGTGCTGCACTATGACCCCCACCAAAGCCCATGCAGAGATGGCTTCATGAAGACAGAAGAAAAAACACCTTTACAAAATAAAATGGGACTTAACTTAAAAAAAAAAGACACTCACCTGAGCATTCTCCTAGGAGCCAAGACCACCTAGAGATGCGTAGATGAATAGAAATTGGTTAATAATTAAGAGAGAACTAAGCAATAAGAAGCCCGAGCCATCGGTCAAACACTTTATAATTAATATAAGCCTCTGTGTGTTTATTTGGGACTAAATGGCTGCAGGAACAGGTGGGACAGAAACTTCTCTCTACAGAGAGCTGCACCACCACTGCCTGGCACACATTGTTTAACTTTAAAAATAACCACTAAATATAACTTCTGAAATGAAATTAAAAGATCCTAAGGAAAAGATTCCTAGGTCAAATTCTGGAGATTTTTAATTCACTGAGTTTGAGAAGCCAATACATAAATAAAATTTTTAAACATTTCCTGGGAAAAGGATGTGGCTTAGTGGTAGATTTACATAAGTTTTGGGTTTAATCCCCCTGCACCAAAAGTTAAGCAATTAGTCAATCAGTAAATGAGTACATAAATGCTGACCCACTAACTGAGTTTGAAAGTCATTGGTATAGTATAAATATTATAGAGACAATCTTTTGTGAAGTCATGAAAATATTTGCCTATAACCCTTTAGGGACATGAAAATTAATGGAGGAAGGTAGGACAGAGAACATACAGTTCTTTTAACTTTTCTTCTCCTCTTTCCTTCCTCCCTCCGTTTCTCTTCCCTTGACTTCTGTTTTCCAGATGAAATTTTTAAAATTTAACTTAATTTTATGCGTATGGGCACTTTCCTTACTTCTGTGTACCACATACATGCCTGGGGCCCACAGAGGCACGGAGAACTCTTCAGAACCCCTGGAACTTGAGCTACAGACAGTTGTGAGTCATTATATTGGTGTTGGGAATTGAACCCCAGTCCACAGCAACAGTAGCCAGTGCTTTTAACTGCTGAGCGATCTTTCCAGTCCCTTGAGGTAGGATCTGGCTCTGTAGCTTCAGCTAGCCTGGTACTCACTATATGACCTCAGACTGGCTATGCAACCAGAGGTTATCTTGAACTCCTGATACTCCTGCTTCCATCTCACAAGTGCTGGGATTAGGTTTTCTCTGGCCTCTGCAGGCACTGCGTGTGCACATGGCACACAGACATGTGTGCAGGCAAAACACCCATACACGTAAAACAGAAATAAAAAAATGAATAAAATATCAAAAAATATGAAAGGTTGTGTGTCAATCCTTACATTAAATGTATGTATATACTTGATGTGTATATATATATATATATTCATTAGCAAAAACTGCCTCATGTTTCATAAAACAATATAATAAAATTAGAGGGTATTTCAGGTTTGATTTGTTTTTTAATTTTATGGTATGACATTGTGAAGGCTAAAACATTACCAGTCTTGAAAAGTAACATATATATTATACTTTATGTATATAAAGTAATACATATAATATTATAAAGTAATATGTATAATATTACATATACATAATCTAGGTTCCACAAATTAGAAAAAACATGTAATATCTGAGGCTAGGTTGTTTCATTTAATATGATGATCCCCAGTTTCATCCATCTTACCAAAATGACATAATTTTGTTCTTCATTATGGCTGAATGAAATTGTTTGGGCCTCACACTTGGACAAGAAGCACTTAACCCCCTGAGCTACTTCTCTAGCCCCTTATGATCTGCATTCTGAAGATGTCTTTGGCTTTACCATCAGACATTCCCGTTGGTTTTCAACCATGCTCAGTTACTTCATTTGTTTGATTGTTGTCTGTTGGTTTCAGCCTGGAATTCCTGATTTACTGCTTCCAACTCTCAAATTCTGGGTGGCATTATAGGCATGTACCACCAAACCCTGTTTCTTATTATATTATTGCCCTTTCATACTTAACCTTAAATTTTATCTGTTAATAACTTGTAGTAGATAGTGGAGTTGAGACACAGACTCACTATATAGTCCTGGCTAATCTGGAGCTTACTATATGAACTAGCTGGAACTCTTTCTGCCTCTGTCCCTCAAATTCTGGTATTATAAGTCTAGGCATCAAGCTCCTCTCAACTCTCTCCCTGACACTAATTCTCATTCTCTCTGTCTCTCTGTCTCTCCGGTTCTCTCCCTCCCTCCCTCCCTCCCTCCCTCCCTCCCTCCCTCCCTCCCTCCCTCCCTCCCTCCCTCCCTCCCTCCCTCCCTCCCTCTCTCCCTCTCCCCCTGGTTTTTCAAGACAGGGTTTCTCTGTATTGTTTTGGAGCCTGTCCTGCAACTCGCTCTGTAGACCAGGCTGGCCTAGAACTCACAGAGATCCATCTGCCTCTGCCTCCCAAGTGCTGGGATCAAAGGTGTGCGCCACAAACACCCAGCTCTTAATTTACTCAAGGACTCCATCTTAGCTGGGGATTTTCCTTAGAGAAGTCTAATGTGACTTCAGTCAAAGCCTTCAGACAGGATGCCAAAGGAGTGGACAAAACCCCGAGAAGGAAAGAAATCTGAGTACTCATTCCCCAACATTAAGAGACTATAGAGAGCCCGGTGTAGGAAACCAGAAGGAACCACCACTAAGGTGAATGGGAAAGCAAGCAAGCGCTGCACTCTAGATGTGAATGTCTCAAGTGGCTAGTAAGAGATTGAGGAAGCTACACCACCTAGGTGAGAAAGAACCCTCTTCAGCTGCATTTCCACCTATCACCACTAGGGGACTCACAGGATCAAGTGCCCTGGTTAACCTGGGCAAGAACTTGGAGGGGAAGTTAGAGGCAAAGAGGCAAATTTAGTCTAGTTCTGGCCTTCAGGCTGCCTGCCCACTGTGTTACCCTGCTTCCTCCGTCTTTTACTACAGGGTCAAGAAAAAGACCCTCCTGGTACTCTTGGTGAGAAATGGTCAGTGGCTCGACAGGCTGTAGGCAAGTCTGGGGAGAATGCCCAAAAGAAAGGGAGACGGGTCCAGTACAGTTAAGCCACTTCTTTCTCCTGGCCGCGTAGCTCCTCCATCGCAGGCCTGAGAGGTGAGCCTAGGACCCTGTCTCCAGCCTGCTCAACCACCTACTCTCCACTCTATTTCCACCAGCTAAGGGTAGGACGTTCCCTGCAGAGTTTGAGCTTTTGGGCAGCTTCAGCCTTAGCTGAAGGGTTTGGGAAGGCAAGGGTATGGTGGAGTGTGGGGAATGGAGGAGATGAACCAGGGCCCCTGCCTTCATTCTTCCTTCCTTCCTTCCTTCCTTCCTTCCTTCCTTCCTTCCTTCCTTCCTCCCTCCCTCCCTCCCTCCCTCCCTCCCTCCCTCCCTCCCTCCCTCCCTCCCTCCCTCTCTCTCTCTCTCTCTCTCTCTCTCTCTCTCTCTCTCTCTTTCTTTCTACATTTGTGTATTTATTTAGTGGTTTAGTGGTGTGTGTGTGTGTTTAGGTCAGAGCACTTTCACTAGTGTGCATGTGTTCCATGACACATGTGGAATTCAGAAGACAACTTGCCAGTCAATCCTTTCCTTCCACCATGTAGGTCCAGGGTATCAGACTTGGGTTGTTAGGCTTGATGTCAAACACCATTACCTACTGAACCATCTTGCCAGTCCCAGTACCCTCAGGAGATTATTAAAATGCCAAAATGTATACTGGCACACACCTGTAATCCCAATATTTAAGAGTCAGAGGCAGTAAGATCACTGTGAGTTTGAGGCCAGTTTAGGTTACATAGTGAAGAACTACATATCTAGACCCTTATCAAAAGTAAATAAATAACTAAAATGCTGAAAGATAAGTCACATGAATAGTATAGAACAGAGAACCCCAGGGAACACGTACCTGAACAGAGCAGGACTAAATTTGGGAGTTGTGGTAGTTTGAATGAGAATGGCCCCCGCTGGTTCATGTGTTTGACTATGTAGTAAGGAGTTGGTGGACCTGTTTGGGAAGGACCAAGAGGTGTGGCCTTGTTGAAGGAGGTGTCACTGGGGGGTGGGCCTTGAGGTACTTCCCCATACACTACTGCCTTTGGCTTTCAGATCAAGATGTGAGCCATCAGCTGTTCCTGCCACTATGCCTTTACACTGCCACCATGCACTCTGCCTTCTGAAGCTGTAATCTCAATTAAATGCTTCCTTTTACAAGTTACATTGGTCCTAGTGTTTTGTCATAGCAATAGAAAAAAAAACTAATACAGCATCTGTGTCCTGAAGACTGGGAGGGGAGTGAATTTATCCAGCTAGTGAGACTACCAGTGATGGACTTCCTCCCTGAGGAGAGAGGAAATGGACTATGTTACTTATGGTGCAGTAGGAGTGCTGAGGGATAATGGAAAAGCCACATTGTGATGGTAATACAGATTGCAAGAGTGTATTGAGAGACTGGTTAGGGATTAATTTGTGAAAGGGGTTGGCCTTGAACCTGCTATGTAGCCCAAAATGACCTTGAACTAAAGTTACAGGCGTGCTAGCAATCTGGTCTATGAAAACCTTGGGATTGAATTCAGGCCTTCATACAAGCAGTCCTCCAACTGAGCTACATCCCTTTCCCTAACTGAGGGATGTCTAGAGCTAGGAGAGAAAGGTCCACCACAGTTAAAGTTCCCCCTCCGAGGGTAGAGCACACCTGAGGGAGTGCTCTGTTTCCTCTAAAAGAGTGACTGTAAGAATTTTAGAAAGGGGGGCTGGAGAGATGGCTCAGCGGTTAAGAGCACTGACTGTTCTTCCAGAGGTCCTGAGTTCAATTCCCGGGAACCACATGGTGGTTCACAACCACCTTGAATGAGATCTGGTGCCCTCCGCTGGCATGCAGGCAGAAGACTGTATACACAATAAATAAATAAATAAAAATTAACAACAACAAAAAAAGAATTTTAGAAAGTATGCTTGTGATGATCTCATGGGAAATGAGAACAGAGGAAGAAATGCCAGATCCACTATTGCGCTAAAAGTTATGTTTTAAGAAAACAAGCATAAGATTGTATTCATTATAA